GAGAGAGTAGAGCAGCTGGGGGGAGGAATTCTCAAAGAAGCACATATCCCTTAAAAAGAAGCCTCAGGAGATTCACTACCCAAGTTGCTCGTGCAGCATATATATTTATTAAGTGCCTAATGTGTCCCAGAATTTGTTCTACCTGCTGGGGATGTAACGGAATAAAACAAAGCCCTCAAGGAGGTGATATTCTTGACTGGGGAGGGAGGAGAGACACACAGATAAATGAACTTGAGTAGCAGATGGAGAAAAGAGCAATAAAAGAAAAAAAGAACAACAGGGGGAAAGTGTTGAGGCAGGGGAGGGTTGACATTTTATAAAGGGTGGTCAGGGGAGGCTTCCCTGAGAAGGTGGCATTTAAGCAGAAATCTGATGGAATGGGGAATAAAGGAAGAGTATTGAGGGCAAAGGCAACAGCAAATAGAAATGAGGAAAGCCTTGATGTCTCAGAGCAGCTTTCCAAACTTTAGCCTGAGAATCCCCTGAGGGCTTCTTAAACACAGATGGCGGAGCCTACCCTCAGGGCTTCTCAGTCAGCAAGTCTGGGGCAGGGCCGGAGAATTTTCGTTTCTAATAAGTTCTCTGGCGATGCTAATGCTTCTGGCTGGGGGACCACACACTGAGGACCACCTTTGTAGAGGAATAGCTATGAGGTCAGGGTGGCTGGAAAATCCAAGTAATTAAGGGAGAAAGTAGAAAAAAAAAAAAAAAAAAAAGGAGAGATCAGACGGCTGGCTAAGTTCAGCTCATCTCAAACTCTAATGTGCAGGGAATCAGCTGGGGTCTGTAAAAAGGGAGGTGGGGGTGAGACCCAAGATGCCGCATTTCTAGGAAAGCTCTTAGGTGGTTCAAGTGATACTGACCTGCAGAACACATTTGGGGAATCAAGGTTCCAGGGGCTTTATTCTGTGTTGGACAAGATGTCAACCAGCACTGGTCAGTGTTGGGAGATTGGAAGATTGGATAAGAGAAGTGACGTGGCCCGAATCATATCAGAAGGAGAGCTCTGTCTACTTTGGGAGGAAGAGCCTTGTGCAGGGTGAGGGCAGGAAGGCAAGAACAGTTATGAGGCCACCGCAAGAACCTGGCCAGACCCAGATGCCTTAGAGCAACACAGGTAAAGGGAAAGTGCTCAAAAGTCACAACTCGTGATATAATTTGATGGCAGATCTAATAGCATTTGCTGATAGATGGTGTGCATGTTGGGAGACAGATAAGAGTTGGGGCAGCTCTGAGGATCTGAGCCTACTGATCCAGACGGGGGGAATTTCTTTAAGTGAAATGAAAAGTCTGAAAAAAAGCAAATCTTGGGATAGAAAGGTTAAATTGTGAGGCATGGAGACAAGATAGGTAAAAAGGTAACAATTTCCGGTGTGTGGTTTCTCCCGAACAGTTTTTGTGATGTAGGATCCGGCTATGTAGCTAACCCTAACAATCCTGGCAGCTTGGTTGGAATGACCTAAAGAGAGGAAAAAACCCACATGGTAAAATTTCTTCATTGGAGTCACACAGCTCAGAGCGGGTGGTGGAGATGAAAACAATGGCTCTAAGATAGAAGAATGATCTTGTCTAGAAAAATAAGGATGTGATAAGGAAAAAACTCTAACTCTAGTGCCAGCCCTGTTTTAAAATACAGCCGATCCTCTCAGGTACATACACCTCGATCGCCTGACCAAAGAGAGATGATTTCATGCCTGGCTCTGAAGTCTTGGGACCCGTTCACCCATTTACCTTACCGAACTATTTCTTTAAAACTATTTCAAGCTCTTCCAATTATATGTCAACTAGCCTCCCTTTCCTGTAAATGGGACAAAGCCACAGAAATTTGACTTTTAGCTGTGGGTTTTTCCAGTTTTGTAGTCTGCAAATAGCACTGGGTTGAGTTAGAAGAACTGGAGGTGAGCCCCATCATTGCCATCTGTGATCTGGGCAGATCACCTCCACCACAAGGAGCTTCCTGTCCCCTCTTGCAAAATGAAAATTAGTGCTTACTCTATTACAGGATTTGGCAATTGGATACGAAATCTCTTGATAAGGTATTTAGGATCGTGAATATCTGTTTCCCACCGATCCTAACCAAACATACCCAGAATGTAAAGGCTTCTCCTTCATTTTAGAAACAGAACAAGAGAGAGAAAAGCTTCTCTCTCCTCTTGGTAATGGACCAGATTGCTGGAGTTCTTCAATAAAAACGTTTGCAGCCAAGATGTTGAAATGGAATACCTTTACACTCTCTAAATCCTAAGCAAACAGGTGTTAATGAATATGACACACCAGTAGAGGGGCTGGGTTCCCCCCTCCCCCACTAAATATAGCCCTAGGCATATATTACATGTACATACAAAAAAATATATATATATATATACATATATATATGTATATATATATAGCAAGAAGAATAATCATCTACTTTTCTTTCCTTTTTTCAAAATAAAGACAGGAACACTGAAATTTTTGTAAACAAAAATCATGTTATATGTTTCTAAATCCATGGAGCACTCACTAGTTTCTCTAGAAAATGTGGTCTATCATTTCCATTTTTCAGAAACTTAGCAAATTCCAAAGAAACACCAATAGATATTTCTCCCCTAAAGTTACCCAGTACTCTATCATGGAGATAAGAGCTGTTCAGCAATTGTATCATAAGATTTAAAATTATTTCAAGGCATTAATAATGCAGAAATTATACCCACCAAAATTGATTTCTGAAATATCCCTCTGTTCATCAAAATCTTCATCATGCACTGTTAAAAGTAGGGAAAAATTCTTATTAATCTTGCTGAACAAAAGAAAGTTCAGAAACACTCTCTATGCATTTCAATGGATTCTTACCATTTCCTTTAGAGAGATGTTTAATCTGAAAGAAATAAATATACAGAATATGGGTAACATATACCAGAATTAATATTTCTGAACACTCATAACAGAAGAACTCTACTTACAGATACAGCTGCTATGTGGGCACAAAACAAGATGAAAGACAGAACACAAGTGGATCTAATCCAAATCATTGTTGCAAGTGAACACATTTAGCAAATACACCTTGTGATAAATACTTTTCGGACCTTGCCCTGGCCGTCATTTTAGAAACTTTGACCCTCACATATGTACTGTGGCATTAAAAAAAATAGCCAAAGGAAATGTCATTGATCCTTTTAAGAACAGATACCAAGTTTAACATAAAATCTCCAGCTCCCCAGACCAGGGAAAGGTTTGAAAAGGATAATATTGAGATGAATATATAAAAACCTGTAACATTTCCATACACCAGCAATAACATTCCTATATAGCAGCAAAAACTGTTCATGTAATATAACAGATAAAAAAAACCCATTCCACAGTATAAATCAAAACAATCTATAAAATATCTATAAAGTACTTAAATCCAATAAAAATAATTAAAATTTTATGGAAATGTTTTGAGCAATTATCAGAGGACATAGATCTATTCACACACACACACACACACACACACACACACATATTTATATCTATAAAATATTCATGAATGGGAAGACTTCATGTAATAAAGATGGTCATTATTTTGATATTTGTCTATAAATTAAGTGATTTTCCAATAAAAATCTTGCCAAGTTTCTTGTGAAACTTGATGAACTGACAAACCCTTTCTGAAATTTACATGAAAAAGTAAACTTCCAACAGTAGATCAGAAAACTGAAAAGAAAGAACAAGGAGAAAGAACTGCCCTAATGGAATATCAAGAATTTTTTGAAGTTATAGTAGAGAGTGTGTTATTGCCAAAAAAGACAGAAAAATTAGTCTACAGAATGGAATAGACTATCAAAACAGATGCAAGACTATATGGGAATTTCACATGACAGGAGCCAAAAAGTCCATAGGGAAACTTTAGTCTTTCAACAGTAATGTGGGGACAACAGCATTTCCATATGAGGAAAAAATTAAATTCATACACCATTCATACACACACACACACACACACACACACACACACACAAACTGAATAGATTAAAGATGTATATACAAAAATCTAAACTTTGAAAAAAATATAGGAAAAAATGCTTTTAACCTTGAGGTCAGAAAATATTGCTTAAACAATAAAAAAAAAAACCATATAAAGCATAGTAAGTTTGACTATATCAGGATTTAAAATTTTTGTGACAAAAGACACAACAGTATAGTTAAAAGATCGGCCACAGATGGAAGAAGACTTTGATACTGCATATAATTGAGTGAGAGTAAGTTATCCAGGGTATATAAAGGAATACCTACAAATAAATATGAAATAGAGAGAGAGATGATCCGAGAGAAAAACGGGCAAAGTGTGAACACAAAATTCACCACAAACCTCCCAAATGTCCAATAAACATGTAAAAAGATTTTCAACCTCACAAGTAATCAGAAAAATATCAGTTTTTTTTAATGTTTATTTATTTTTGAGACAGAGAGAGACAGAGCATGAACGGGGGAGGGGCAGAGAGGGAGACACAGAATCGGAAGCAGGCTCCAGGCTCTGAGCCATCAGCACAGAGCCCGACGCAGGACTCGAACTCACAGACCGCGAGATCGTGACCTGAGCTGAAGTCGGACGCTTGACCGACTGAGCCACCCAGGCGCCCCAAAAAATAGTTTAAATAACAATGAATGCTACCTCAAGCTCAGATTGGCGTAAATGAAGAAGGCTGGCCATACCAAATGTCAACAAGAAAGTGAGGAAATAGGAAATCTTACACACTGCTGGCAGACCAGCAATCGATGCTATCTAGTAAGTTGAAATGTGCATAGTTTACAAGCTAAAAACTCCACTTCCAGTTATATACTCTAAATAGAGATTCACAGACGTGTATACAAAGTACCATATAACGAAGTACCATATCATTGTGGGTTGTTTTTTTTTTGTAATAGTAAAGAACTGGAAAAATGTATTTATACTGGGAGAAAGAAAGTACCAGTCATGCACGGATAAATGTTCAACAACCAGATCTCAGAGGGAACAAGCTTTTAGGTGTAGCGTTTGTTGATTTCCTGGCTGTAAATATCCCTACCAGGGTTAATTTCAAGCTACCAACACTATGCCACCGAATGCAGTGTGGGGAAGAGGTGTTCAGTATGGGCTGTACCTGCCCCAGCACAGGACTGCGTATATTTACATGCCCTCCGACTCTTGCATGCAGGACGTATGACAGTCTCTGATATCAGCAATCTTCAAGGTCCAGGGCCTGCCTGTCTCCATCTCAGACCTACTTTGTGGGCAGGTGGGCCAGTCCTGTGGTCAGAAGAGCACTTCCTGTCAGAAAAGCATTTCCTCAGGCAGAGAGTGGGCTTCCGGAGCAATAAAACAGGAGGCATGACAGCCCGGAGTCAGCCTTGGATGGGCAGAGATCTGCGACGGACTTCCTTGTCACTGCAGCCATCGAGTGTGAGGTCATAAGGGCGGGTAGAGAGCCATTGCCCACACTCTCGAACCACGGGAAGCCACCAGTGTTCTCAAAAAGAACCCAAACTTGCCCAATGGCTAAAGATGGCTTAGGTCAGCAAATACAATCTTGATGATTAAAAAAGGGGGGTGGGGAGGGACTAGATAAACAGGAGACTTCATGAGAAACATAAACTTTGTGAGAATAATTGGCTCTGAGTATAAGAGAGGAAAACACAGGAGGCTTTAATTTCTTAAATGTATGGTTTAATTTTTCTCAAATTTTGAAGCAATTAAAAGAATGAGTATTTGTTCATTCCGAAGCCAGGAAGCAGGGGTTTAGGACTTTGCTATTTGTTTTCTAAAGAAAAGGGCAACACTCTTGCCTTGGTCCCCCTCCTGCTAAAATCTCTCCTGTTAGCTTTTCAAACAGGCACTTGCGGGGCTGTTGAATTCTCCCCACCTTTCCCTGCCTCCCGATGTGCATTTATCGTTCCCTTCCTTCTTATCCTTATCTAAACGATATACTCTAACAACGGCTCTGGGAATCGGATGGACAGGAACTCAAATCCCACTTCTGCCGTTGGCTAGCTGTGCCATTATGAGCACCTGCTTTCCGTGTGTGAAATGGACAGCAGTGCCTAGTTAAGCTGCTGTAAGGATTGAAAGATAACCTACGGAAACCACAGGCACCAGAAACCTAGGAAGCGCTCAGTAAGCTATAGCTCTTTCCCACCGTACACACTGCCTTCTGGCAAAAGACGGGCCATAAGAACACGAAAGCCCAGCACACTCCTTGCTCAGCCGAACATCCACTGATGGGATCATAGGTCTTCGGCAGACACAACCTGTCTCTAACGACTTTCTTTTCATGATCTTGACTGCGGACGTTAATCAGTTACCAGCTGTTTGCAGTCCTAGGCACTTCATGTCCCGGAGTGTCAAGTGAGCAAGGCTGGAGTCTTAAGTCCCAGGTTTAAAGAGTTTATGGCTTTGCAGTTCAAAGCTAGATCAGGCGCTCCACGGGGCAAGGGTCACATTTTACTTTCCGTACCTGCTCCGGTGTCTAGCGCACAGTAGGCACTTTGTAATCATGTGGGATGAAATACAGTAAGATGGGATTTTCTCTGAAGCTATTGGATGCAGCGGTTTGCTTTGATCTCAGGGAGGACGTTTCATAAACTGACCGATTGAGAAAGTGCTGTGACGATTGGAAGAGAAAAGACAGTGGCAGGTGGGGCCAGGGAAGCCGTCCCCTGTTTGTCACACACCCTCTCGCCTCATCCAAGCGGAGGCCAGGACCCCCCTCCAGACCGGCAAAGTCCTATCCCCCCAGGCCCTTCTCAGGGATGCTCCCTGCCCTCTGCCTCCTCCACGTGCCCCTTTCTGCTTCACTCACTGAGCTTGCCCTCAACAGACTATCAGTCCATCGGTTAACCTCTGACACAACTGCCTTTGCTGTTGCTCCAGGCGATCGACGTGTAACCAGGGCTCAAAGGTGCTCAGAGCAAGAACTGGCAAACTGTCGAAGTGAGCGGCAGCAGCAACTGTCGTGTCCACAGCTTTTACTGTGGGCCAGACGCTGTTCCGCGGATCTAAAGTATAGCTATTCCTTGAATCCCCACAACAATTCCGTGAAGCAGGCACTCCTCTCATGCCCATGGTAAAGACTAAAACACTGACACAGAAAGATGAAGAGACCTGACCAAACCCACAGGGCTCCTGGCAATGTTCCTAAAATACCACCTGTGAGTCAGCTGTTTCTACCTACAGCTACAGCCCAGGCGAGAGGCTCGGCCATCAGGCCGCAGCATGCAGGGCCCCCATTCCAATAGCGTCCGTCTCCAACCTTTTACTAAGAAGACTTAGCCGCTAGGAAAACAGCTATAGTATCTTTCAAAAGCACCCTGGAAAGTCTTTTAAAGTACAGATTCCTGGGGCACCTGGATGGCTCAGGCAGGCAAGCCTCCAGCTCTTGGTTTTCGGCTCAGGTCGTGATCTCGAGGTTCGTGAGTTCAAGCCCTGCATCGGGCTCTGTGCTGACAGGTGTGGAGCCTGCTTGGGATTCTCTCTCTCTCCCCTCTCTCTCTCTCCCTCTGCCCCTCCCCCACTTGCACTGTCTCTCTCAAAATAAATAAATAAACATGGCTGGGCCTGGGACTTGGAAATTCTAATTCAGGTCAGGGGTGAGAGCCAGGAATCTACCTGAGGGTGACAGCCAGGTAGTCTATGGAAGACACTTTGATAAACAGGACCCTGGGGAATTGACAATAACCAGATGCTTCCATTCTGACTGTGGTTAGTAGTTACCTTACACCCGACTCCTTTTTAATAAAAAA